ACAGCAGCAGCAGCAGCAGCAGCAGATTGTGTACCTTGTCTTAATTATGTTGGAGTCTCCTTGGGGTATCTCCTTACTGCAGCAGCAGGCCTTCATCTCGCAGCATCTGACCTCGGAGACACCATGACGCTGCAGTTTGTCTCCTTTTTTGCTGTTGTTGCTGCTGCTGTTAATGTATGTGTTGCTGCTGTATGGCGCATAGCGGGCTCTGGCTGGGGCTGGGATGCTTACACAGCAGCAGCAGCAGCAGCAGCAGCAGCAGCAGCAGCAGCAGGGGATACAGGTGCAGCAGCAGTAACAACAACAGCAGCAACAGCAGCAGCAGCGGGTTCTTCTGCTATTCCTTTCCCTGCAGCAGCAGCAGCAACAGCAGCAGCAGCAGCAGCAGCAGCAGGAACAGGTGGAGGAGGTCTGTCTTTGCCTGCAGCATCATCCCCATCGCCACCATCTACATCATCAACAGCAGCAGCAACAGCAGCAGCAGCAGCAGCAGGAGGGGGGTATGCAGGCTCGCTGCTGCTGCTGCTGCAGCAGCTCTTTGGGGGCTTCACAGCACGCACAGCCATCCCCTGTATGGTCGATGCCTTCGGCTTTGCTTCTTCTCTCCCCTCCTGGGCAAACGAAGTTAAAGACGATGTTCCGGTCAGACACACCCCACACTTTTTTTTTATCCTTTGTCTTTGTCTTTGTCTTTGTCTTTGTCTGTGTCTTTAACACAAAGACGATGTTCCGGTCAGACACACCCCACACTTTTTCTTCCTTGTCTTTGTCTTTGTCTTTTTCTTTGTCTTTGTCTTCTAACACAAAGAAGATGCTCCGGTCAGACACACCCCACACATTTTGTTTATGCTTTGTCTTTGTCTTTGTCTTTGTCTATTTCTTTGTCTTTGTCTTTTAACACAAAGAGGATGCTCCGGTCAGCGACACCCCACACTTTCTTTTGTCTTTGGCTTTGTCTTTAACACAAAGACGATGTTCCAGCCGTATACACCCCACACTTTTTTTTTGTTTTTATCCTTGTCTTTGTCTTTAACACAAAGACGATGCTCCGGTCAGACACACCCCACACAAATTTTTGAATGCTCTGTCTTTCTCCTTGTCTTTGTCTTTAACACAAAGAGGATGCTCCGGTCATATACACCCCACACTTTGTTTGTCTTTGTCTTGGTCATTCTCTTTGTCTTTGTCTTTGTCTTTAACACGAAGACGATGTTCCGCTCAGAAACACCCCACACATTTTTTTAAATGCTTTGTCTGTGTCTTTGTCTTTGTCTTTAACACAAAGACGATGCTCCGGTCAGCGACACCCCACACATTTTTTTTTGTACTTGTCTTTGTCTTTTTTTTTCAACACAGAGAGGATGTTCCCGCCAGAGACACCCCACACTTTTTTTGTCTTTGTCTGTGTCTTTAACACAAAGACGACGTTCCGGTCATCTACACCCCA